GGGTGTATAAATATGTGACGACTCGTACTGTTCCAAGTCACACAGCTGTATGTTCATCCTCTCTGCAACAGGCATCACTACAGCAAAGGTAAAATTTAATAACTTAACTACTTCTTAACTTCATTTTATGATGACATTACAGATAAAAGTTCAATCTACAGAATATTACCATTCAACTATTTTGATAATCAATTAATCAGTTAAGTTGTTTATCAAGCGTTCTTTTTGTTTTATCATTGTAAATTGAAGTTTTGTATAATTTTAATCTTTCGTTTTTACTACATCTTGTGTCTCTTTACACTTTATAGATACAAAATGTAACCAATTAATCAAAAAGACCATGAATTTATTCCATTTCATGCTTTTCCACAGATGGCATCAGGTTTTCACTTGGCTTTCTTCCTCTGTCTGGTTAGCGGACTGTTGATTGCAGGAACTGTAGTAAGTAAAATATTCTTCTGAAGTATTAAAGAATTCTCTAAAATGTCGCTGAAAACTACACTCTCACAAATATGATGTTAATGTCATTAAAAGTATAATTTTATCCTGAAAATCCAGAAAGTTGTTTACTATGAAGCTTTTAGAAGCTACAGCTGAGTGCTGAATTTACAATATATCTGCTATGATGCTCCACAAAATGCCAACAGTGGAGCAGCCACACTACAAGGAGATTGTTTAAGATAATGGATGCTAAAATTAAAACTCAAAAGTGCAAATTCTAAGCTGTTTTAATAAATGTGTTGTTCATATACACAGGGGTCCACCAGGATTAGCAGGTCTGCAGGTTGGTAGCTATAACTTATCTATGCTTGGATGTTGTATTTTCAGTACATATAAATTCATACAGACAACATTACATCATCTGGTTTGCTCGAAAATACCCCAGAGTCATTCTACAGAGCGGTTCACTGACACAACATCACCTACTCTTATTAATGCAGAAAGAATGGTGTTGTCTGCATTGCTATCATACACTGAGCTGTAGTGGGTAATTGGCTAGGCCTAAATTCTCTCCGGGATGGGCCAGGCACACACAATTAACACAATTTCCTCTTTCAAACATTAAGTCCTAATGTATGTGTATAATGTAAATGCAAATACAGGATCTTTAAAATGATTCTGATAGTAAGAGCAAGGGTGTGGGAAGGTGTTAAAGATTATGTATTTCTTTTTAAAACCTGAATGAATGGGATGTAAAACTTTCTGATTCCTTTCACTCTTTACTCTAACATAACAGTTGTGTTACAGACTGTCCTTCTGGTTGGAGCCGGTATGGTTCTCGCTGTTTCAATGTTTTCACCGATCAACGGAGCATGGCTGATGCAGAGGTAGATAGTTAATTACTCTTTATTGGCCTTCAGGTTAGTCAATAATCATGTTTCAGCTATATGAAGTCTGGTTGTATTTATCTGCTCTCCCTCATCTCATTCTTCTCAGTTTACATGCTCTCAGACATCCTATTAATTTTGTATCTGTCTCTCACTCTGTCTCCCCCATCAGCTAATCTGCATTGCTCACGGTGGGAACCTGGCCTCAATCCACAACATCCATGAACACTACGTCATTAGGAATCTGATTCACCAGAGGTATCAGGCGTATGTAAATGCCTGGATTGGGCACTTTGATGCAATACAGGTGAGACATTTTTAGACTAATAGATTTGGGATAGATCAAGGGTCTCAAACCTTATTGAGAGTAAGGTCTACCTAAAGGGAGAAAAATGCTGGGAGGGCTACTCTAGATGTTTTCAATAGAATATGTATCTTTTCCCCTTTAGTAATTTTCATCTTACAGGATTGAACGCCAATTTATTTGAAGTTTCTTTAAACCACTGAAGGATTTTATGAGAACTACTCTACTATATGAACTAAGAATATATTTCCTCAGCTCACCTAACTGAGGTAAACCAATTAATTGATAGATCATGAAAATGTGTAACTCAAAGAAAGTCATCAAGAATTTAAGCCCCCGTTTGGAATACAGAGAATGAAGACCAAATTCAGAAGAGCAGAATAGGGAAGCATGGTTTAAACTCATTTAAGATTAAGATTAGATGCTCCGTGGGCCCTTATGCTAGATCAACCAGTGACCAGTTGTTCCAAAATATCCTGACATCCATGAACAAATCAGTAATCTGCAATTAGCACAGCTGTTCAGCAATCACCTTCTCTTCCAGGAGGGAAGGTGGATGTGGACTGATGGTTCGGGGTCCACATTCAGATACTGGGCTCATGGGGAGCCTAACAACCACGGAGGAGAACACTGTACAGAGATCAACTTCAGAGGTACAAATATTATTAGACTTACTGATGGTATTTTTTAATTGACAAGAGACAAGTGGTATAGTTATAGGAGTCCTTATTAAGGGCTGTGTATTTATGTCTTTTTATATTTGTGGCCAATCTCTGGTATACCACAGGTGGCAGTGTAGATCATCATGGTAGGGGAAATCTATAGTCCCAGGTGCAACAGATAGGACAGCTCAGATAGGCACCTCATTGCCATGCCATTCTTTGGTTTGGAATCCACAGAACACACATCCATTTGAACTGTTTTTGTGGGGGATACAATGGGCAAGTCAGGCCTCCAGCTATGGTGACTGGCTTAGGATTTTGAAAGGACTGAAAGACTGTGTGGAAGCACATCAAAAACAAAGGCTGCACCCAGCTGAGTGACTCATTGGATCTGGTATCTCAAGACTAAGTTATCTGTTGTATTTTTACTGCTGTTCATACGCTTTTCTTAATTTGTCTAAAGAACAAGCATTACATCAGAGACATTTAAATGCACTCAGTAAACAATAGTTAGTCATAAACTGTAGACTTTTATTCTGTTGTGCTTAGCGATTCTTTTCTTCTTACAGGAAACGCTTGGAACGATGAGCACTGTAACTCCAGGAGACCTTTTGTTTGTGCCAGGAAAGTGTGAAGCCTCCCACCATCTTCCATCATATATACCATTATGATGTTACTTCCACCAGTATGACGCTACTATTACGTCTACAATGTTATACTTTAATAGCAAACTTGCTGTAATGATTCACTTCCAATTTAATGTTTCCACATCAAATTACTACAAATCAGTTAATAGAAATATCACTCTGATTATTCACTCTGACTAAATAGATTAAAATGGGATTTAAAAACGTGATTTTTTAATGAGGGGAAAATTTATTTTTCTTGTGATTTTTTCATTTACTTCAATTTTTTAACACAATATAGTTACAATCTCAATCACTGCAAAACAAACTGAAAAAAAACTTACTAAAATAAAAATAATCTCTAAGAATAATATGTTTCTTCTTCATTGTGTGTGTGTGTGTGTGTGTGTGGTGTTTGTCATAGTGAGTGCAGGCACAAAAAGAGTTTATTGTACACCAGGTGGAAGTGTGTGTATATACACGAACAAAATTATAAACGCAACACTTTTGTTTTTGCGCCCATTCATCATGAGCTGAACTCAAAGATCTAAGACCCTCTTCTATGTACACACAAGGCTTATTCTATCAAATATTGCTCACAAATCTGTCAAAATCTGTGTTTAGTGAGCACTTCTCCTTTGCCGAGAGAATCCATCCCGCAGGTATGGCATAACCAAGATGCTGATCAGGAAACATGGGTATTGCACAGGTGTGCCTTAGGCTGGCCACAATAAAAGGCCTCTATATACACAAACTTTTCTGTGTGAACAATGCATTTAAGCACAGGTTTCATCCAGGTCTACCTTGTGGATTAAG